CCCCCCCCCCCACACACACACGCAAACGAAAAAAATAAATAAAAAGGTCTGGCTTAACCCTGTAAATATTCAGGCAGTCCAAAAATTAGCATTGATAGGACGAGAATAGACATAGTGTGATGGGATATTAATATTACAACTGCAGTGTCCACTAAAATTATTTGACATGTCACATATCGCTTGTTGACAAACACTAGTACCAAAAACCGTTGTGTTTGCCGAGCTCGAACAGAAAATTCCTCCCTTTCCGAGAGACGTGCAGAGTTGAAAAACTCAGGATAGTAAGGCCAGAGCACTCGCGTCTGTCTGCCTCGACGCCAACGCACGTGCGTGACAAGGCTGGACTTCTGTCAATGGTTTGTATCGTGCGAGAGTAGTAAGGCGCCTGGCAGAGGCGTCACCATCAGGGGGATTACCCGACTCATCAACTATTTTCCAAAATGACGGTCTCACTCTGACCGATCGCTTCGTCCCTCATAGTTTATTTTCTACTTAGAGAACCTCACTTTGCCCCCCCCCCCCCACCCCCGGCCCATATCCAAAAGAGCCCCCCCCCCTCCCTTTTCCACATATTAAAAGAAAAACATTAGGACTCGTCTTTGGTCAAAAGTTTGTTGACATTGGCGGACCATAAACTTGTACGTCATAGTAGTGCTGCAGGCAGGGCTGTAGGCAATGATGTGCAGGGCAGGGCTGTAGGGTATAGTGTGCAGGGCAGGGCTGTAGGGTATCGTGTGGAGAGCAGGTATGAAGGGTATAGTGTGCAGAGCAGGTCCGTAGGGTATAGTGTTCAGGGCAGGTCTGTAGGGTATAGTGTGCAGGGCAGGTCTGTAGGGTATAGTGTTCAGGGCAGGTCCGTAGGGTATAGTGTGCAGGGCAGGTCTGTAGGGTATAGTGTTCAGGGCAGGTCCGTAGGGTTTAGTGTTCAGGGCAGGTCCGTAGGGTATAGTGTGCAGGGCAGGTCTGTAGGGTATAGTGTTCAGGGCAGGTCCGTAGGGTATAGTGTGCAGGGCAGGTCTGTAGAGTATATTTGCAGGGCAGGTCTGAAGCTTATAGTGTTCAGGGCAGGTCTGAAGGGTATATTTGCAGGGCAGGTCTGAAGGGTATACGATGCAGGGCAGGTCTGTAGAATATAGGATTCCCTTGTAATTGTTTTTTTTTTTTTTTTGTTTCTTGAAGAAGAAAAAAAATTCCGTCAAATCAAACAATGTATTAATTTGTATTATTGGAGATTTATGTTACATGCTGTCACATTTAAGTTACATGCTGTCACATTTATGTTACATGCTGTCACATTTATGTTACATGCTGTCACAGCAAATAAAAATTACTTAAGCCTTACTTGATACACGTAAGTGTTGGCAGTTCTTGTAAGATCAGAAGGAGGGAGGCGTAAGACAATAGACAGTTATAGCAGACAACTCCGATCATCCGATAGCGGCAAACTCTCAATACCACGTGTTCGCCTTGAGACTTACGGAAGGCGCACGTTTGCATTTGCTGGCCCAACAATTGGGAACACACTTCCTGTCGCTCTCAGAAACAGCCAGACACTGGAGTCTTTCAAAACCGATTTGAAAACATATCTCTTCGCAAACACCTGTTGGGGTGAATTTGTCTACCATCTTTTCCAGCTAGCTATTATCTCCTAGATGTTAAGTGGCCTGTGTTGTTTATGGTTGCAAGGGATGAAAGACTTAGAATGGGTATTCTCGTATGTAATATTTTTAATCTTGCATTTTGTATTTCAAGTCGTAAAATATAGATTTTTTCATTTCTTTTCTAATATGAATGACTTTGTTCCGCGCTTCGAGCCTTTCGGGAGATAGCGTGATTTTCAAATAAGCTTTATTATTATTATTATGCATTTATTTATTTATTTTTAATTTTAATGATGGCACATGTCTTTTTCTTAGGTTGTTTTGTCAGTTTGTTAGTGTGTGTATTGTAAAATCGTGCATCTCAATTTTGACCCACTTCCTAATAGCCTATTCAGCTGAAACAAAGAGCATTGAGCTCATGGCGCCCCCCCCCCTCCCTTTCCAAATGCTTTTTTTTTAGTCATATGACTTTAAAAACTGAAACGTTTTGTTGGAAATTTTATTTTATACATTTTATAACATTTTTGGAAAAGCTTAACTTTTAAAAAAGTATTTTTGTTTAAATATTGCTTTATTTTTTGTGGTGTGCCACGGCATTCTTAATAAAGCTACGAGAGTGCAGAGCTCTGAACTAACTAACACACATATTCTGGTTGAGGCTTGGGCTTACACTCGTAAAGCCCCGACTAGTACATTGGCAACCAGCTCCATCTGCTGGGCTGTGCCATGTAACATCGTCGTAAAGTAGGACTCTCCCGCCGCCCTGGTCTCCCCTCCTCCCCCTCCTCCCCCCCCCCGGCAACATCTAGCGGTGGTCATTCATCCAACAGATGAGCTGGAGTTTCTGGGACCAAGCTGCAATGCCGGCAGCTTGGGGCTCATGTTGTTGTATATACTTTTGGCTATGACATCCACAGCAGCCGTGGGTGTGGTTTTAAATGCACAACAGATGAATCTCAAAACCTGATTCTGGATGTGGCCCAATTTTTCCAATGCAGTTTTGCTTGCAAAGGCTTGGATGTGCATTCTGTAATCCATCATCGTCCTTACACTACTCCGAAAGAGAGCTCTGATTGTGCCTGCACCAGTGCCCCAATTTGTGCTTAGTGGTCGCCTGGAAATTCAAGTCCTTTTTTTTTTTTTAAGTATGCATTTCTACCTTTTGATCTAGATTGATTTCCATGTAGACCGGTGGCTTGTCCCATTTCAGCGTTGCGTCGTTCACCTTGATCTCAATTAAATGTTTAAGAATGGTACGACCGTTTGGTAAAAAGACGAATAGATTGTCGTTTCGGTGTGTATTTCTGTTTATTTCTGTTTGCCAGTATCTACTGATAGCTGAGAGGTCACGCTGTAGTAGCTCTTGCAGTCGGTTGGCATTCTGACTGGTGCTCCAGATTACCAAATCGCCCGCATACATGGCTGCATTTTTTGCTAATATCGTTGGAAAGTCATCGGTATAGGTGAGGAAGAGAGTAAAAAAATAATGGCTGACCCCTGTGATAATCCACCCCCCCTCCCCAACCCCGACAACACTTAGCTTCCGTTCAATCAAAATTCCGTTCGAACAAACTTCCGGTAAAATATTTTCCTCCAATCGAATTTCTTTCACAAAAACTTCTCTTAACCAGATCATGCCCTCCACTTTCAGAAAGAATTTCCTCAAAGAGCCGCCTAAAGTAGATTCGAAGCTCTCTGCTTCTTGGCGTTCCCGATTTGCCTTCAAGTAATCCAAGGCATCGTTTAATCCGCAGGCAAAGTAAGGGGAAGGGGGTGTGCCTGCGATTCAGTAATCTGAATTTTGAAAATAACTCTCAAAACCCAAAGCAAGTCTTTAAAAGCAGCTCAGGTCAGTGACGTCCTGATATGTCTAATCACGCAGCGCGCGGTGTCCCAGTTCTCGACACTGTCTCAAAGCTTTAACTTTACAAGCGGGATACAGCGTGTCAAACTCTGAACGATGTGTTAAGGTGTATGACTTAGGTCAATGGTGTGCTAGCTATAAATACAGTCTCGATGATCCTGGTTTATGTCTACTACATTATGTGATTTCATTTATCTATTCCGACCCCAGGATTGCATTTGTCATGCGCTGAAAGCTCAAAATGGGCCTACTATTCGCTTGCTTTTAACTCTCCAGCTTATGCCGCTTCTAAAATGCATAACTGGTGGAAAAACGGTTGAAGGTAACTGAAATTTTGTTTCTGTATATTTGTCATTTCAGGACCTGGACAAATTCCACTGTCCAGAGCCGACAGCCTATCCGGAGATGAATACGGATGTCAGTCCCTGTCCGGCCAAGGATCCCCAGTCCCCATCAGACGAGCAGCTTCCACTCAAACACCAGCTCTGCCGCCTCGCCTGCCCCGCCTTCCGAGTGCCGACACGCCCCCATTTCTCTACAGCACTTACCAGCACGAGTCTCATCCCGACCTCTCAAGCAGAGCCGTAGCCTCGGCGGGCGGTGCGATGGGCGGGGTCGGGGTGCTATCCCTCGCCGGCGGCCTGCCCATATCTACCTCACAAACTTCCATGCCACTCCCCAAACACGGTGACCCGTCGCCATCGCGTTCGGCCTCCGGCAGGTTACGTGATCTTCATCTCACCCGCAAGCCATTGCACATCCCTTACAGCGAGTTCGAACCGTACAAAGCGGACATGAGAAAGCGCGTGGAGCTGACCAGGTCGGGCGGGCTGGACGGACTCCTCAGTATTCACATCATGTCCGGGCAAGGCCTGAAATCTTCCAAAACCAGTTTGCGAGACCTCTATTGTGTGGTGGCCGTCGACTCGCTGAACAAAGCTCGGACCATGATCAGGACCGGGGCCATCAACTTTGACTGGGACGAAGCGTTCGACATCGATCTGGAGGACTCGAAAGAAGTTAGTTTTCTCATCTACCACTGGGACCCCAACTACAAGCACCGGCTCTGTTTTCACGGATCCATCCTTCTTCCCAGCTACGTCCAGAGCGGCCACAAGAGGTACGTGGCCATCAAACTGGAACCTAAAGGAATATTGTTTGTGGCTCTCCTCTACAAAGAGCCGGCGATTTCTTTACAGCGTTTACCTTCTATCAAGAAAAACGCCCTGTTTGGGGCGGAGCTAGAGACGATAATTCTAAGGGAGAGTTCTGGGTTGAATGTGCCCCTGCTGGTTCACAAATGTGTTCTGGAGGTCGAGAGGCGTGGCTTGGAGACTGTAGGGATTTACAGATTGTGCGGCAGTGCGCGGAGAAAAACGATGCTGAGGGAGGCCTTCGAGACCAATGCCCAGGCTGTTGACCTATCACCGGAGAATGTCTCAGACATACATGTTATTACAGGTAACTAGTAACAATACTTCTGGGGAACCACAGTTTGCTTTATTAACATATAAGTTAAAGGCTAAAACCGAGGACGGCTGCCACGGAGTCATTTTGTGTGTTTATTATAGTTGCAGTGAATTAGGGTTTAGTTTAGGTCAGGTTGAGGGATTGATATAGGGTTCAGGTTAGGCATATCGATCGATTTAGAGATACATTCGTGAAATTCGATAAAATAGTGGCAGTCGGCCCCATTGTTTACCAAGTTAAATTCCAATATGTTTTTTTAAATATATAGGCTAAGTAATCACTTTAAATTTTTTTTTAAAAATTAATGATCGCATAGAATAAAGAAGTGCTTGCTTGTCACCTGTAGCTTAGGATTATTTAGTAAATTTCAAACATGGTGTTACTATAACTATAATTATTAGAAAACAAAATAATAAGGTTAACACATTCAACAACAAAAATTAAAGTTAGAACCCACATTTGATCAAATGCAATTATTTAGTTTAAGATTTAGATCTGTGTAATTTTAGATACTGATAGCCAATGAAATTGATATATTAGTACATGTGGCCAAGTATCTATAGCCAATGAAATTGATATTTTAGTACAAGTGGCCAGGAAAATACTGGCATACACAATACAATTAATTAACAGTAATGCTAGTTATATGTAAATTTTAAAAAAAGAAAATTTGAAAGATCTTATCAGGTAATATTTTTTTCTAATTCAATGCAATAATTAAATAACTTTTAACATTTTTTTTTAACCTTCTGGGATTATTTTGAATTTTATCTCATTGAAATATGGTCATAATTAAGCCTTTTCCATCTTTTTGTTAGTTTTTTCTTTTTTTCTTGTTCCCTCTCTTTCTACTTCTTATTAAATATTATTATTATTTTTTTAAAGTGTAGTTTTCTTTTGCTATAACTTAGGTGTACTAAAGGACTACCTGCGAGAATTGCCAGAGCCCTTGTTCACTAATGCCCTCTATCAGATGCTCTTGGATGCTTTAAGCGTACGGCTGCCATGTGACCCTGAAGGCAGTGCCAAACTCATGCTCAGTATTTTAGAGTGCCTTCCATCTGCCAATCAGGTTCAAGACATATATATTAATTTTTTAAAATTAAATAATTATATACCAGTAGCCTACATTCTGTGCTTCAAATCTGGGATGTGGTGTATGAGAAATAATAGAATGAGATTCTAATTCCCGCCAATGCTATCTTGGATATAATTTTCATTTTTCAGATAATGACATTATGAGCTCTAACAAATATTTGACATTCTTTCCATATTTTTTGCACTCCTAAGTTAAAGCAGGAAAAGCGCATGTAAAGGTTTTTAATTTACAAGCCAACCCCTTAGAAAGTTATATTCCCCTTTGCATTCTGGGAAGTAATTTAATTCACATTCTGGGTGGGGTGGGTGGTAGGCAGTGTTTTCTGGGAGCTCTGCTTTTCAGCTGGGTGGGTTGTGGCATTCAATGTTCAGAGGGCCACAATGAAGACAGCAGCAATTTAAGTATCCTATCCAGCTTGGGCTTGAGTTATTAAAAGAAAGATTGCTGTGACTCTAAATATATAAACTTATTTAAATAATTAATTATCATTTTTACAAAATCTCTTTCATTTCCTTCTCATATCTATCACAGAGGCCATTATACATAAATAAACATATGCTTTTGTGAAAGAAAATAACTCATTTTTTATATCTTTTCCCTCAGGACACCATGGCACTGCTCCTGAATCATCTGCGTAGAGTAGCTGCACACAGTGATAAAAACAAGATGCCTATTGATAACCTGGCTATATGTTTTGGACCTGTACTTCTTTGCCCAGCTCCTAGCTCAACACCTGATCCTTTATTGGATTTCAGAAAGCATATCGAGGTGCTTAGATATCTACTTGAGATATGGGACTATGAAGGTAGCAACAGTAAGTATACAATGTAGGCCTAATTGGCGTTATTACTTTTCACAAAATTAAATAGCCTAATAACTATTGAGAGATTTATTAATAAATGTAATTTTATGCAAAAACAATAGTAAAATAAATGTAGTTTCGAATAAAATTTAAAGAAAAATCTCTTTGTAGACATTTATTTTAAAACTCCATTTCAAACTATAATTCATCTTAACTAGGTGTTGTATAGTCACCCATTTAATTTTTTTAAAATATGATATAAATTTGAGAAATTATTGATGAAATCTTGATTTAAATGCTTTTATCTTACAAAAAAATTGTAGAAAAATATAATTAAAACATCCAGTTTTGCTTGTTAAATGATACAACTTAAATTCATTAATCAGGTACAGGTAATTCAAAGTCACCAACAGCTGACACAATTATTTCAGCAGAGACTGGGGATTCACCTCATCAAGCACCTCAGATGGTTGACAGAAATTCCCGTGATGACATAACCAAGCCTCTTTGTGGAGATGGAAGTGGAGGTGAACCTTCATCTAGCAGACAATGACGTTGGCTACCAACTAGAATCTTATCAAATTTTTCACAATTTAGTGTGTCAAATCTTACATCATCTCTCCAAACTATTTGCATTGCCTCTGCTGTATTGATTTTAGAATAATTAAAGACTGTAAGTATTATATTACAATGGACAACATCATTATATTTTCCAATCATTCTTCTCTGCTTTTATCCTGAACTCTAAAGGTTTTTAAAAAAAATAATTATAAAGAACAATATTTTGCCCTTAAAGTGTATTTAGTTTTCATAAAAAATCCATAAAACTTGAATTAAAAAATACAAATCGGCAGTAAGGTAATTCAAATAAAAACAATATTTTAAAAAATTAAATTTAGTTCCTAATTATGAAATATTATGATTGGTTTGTTAGTTTAAAAGGTTAAACTCTTCAAAATGTTGGTTAACCCTGATTAATATTAATGTCTTTAAATAGGAAACCTTGTGGGGACATATGCTTCTGTTTCACTACATTAATTTTGTTTTAAATTGATTTTCATACTATCCTGTAAATCCCCGACCTTCCTTTATTTATCTCATTAGAATAAATTTCTAAAATCCAATAAAATAACTGTAATGAAAGAAGACTTTTTTTTCAAAAGACCAAAATGATATTGCTTTCATTGCAATGTTATGAAATAAATAAACAAGACCTTCTTTTGACTGCTAACATAACTTTACTATAAAGGAATTAGGTAAATGATTATCCTTTTTAAAAAACATTTGGAAATTTAATATGAAATAGAAAAAACCCACTACAAATAGTTAAGATAAGGGCAAGGTCATGGAGATCATACAAGAAAGGAACTGGCAGTCATCTGTTCTGGAGATATTTATTAACAACGATTTTAAATTTATGTGTGTTTTATTCTATAAATTTTAAATATGATAAACCTTTTGTAAAAAATTTAACTGGGCATAGCATTGAGTTTACTAATTAATGTAATAAATTTGCTTGAGCTCTTTGGCTGTCCTTTTATTTGGGAAGTTATAAGTAAATATTTGCCCTCATCATGTACATAATTTTTATAATTATTTTTTTCATTGCTAATTGAAATTTTTTTAAACTTATCCTATTATAATTTGAATATTTTCTGTAATGAAGATGAATGGCCAAAATATATTAATTACAACTTAAAAGAAAAATATATTTCACAACACCCAGCAATCATTTTTAAAAACATATTTTGTTTTTAATATATTTAAATAATATTTAATTATTTTATGAATAAAGTAGGCTTATAGTTTTATTTCTAATAGAAACTTAAATAACTATTTCACTATTTCTTGTATTGTCATACAAAGCTTACTGAGGTATGAATTTAGGCATTTTATTGATTTATGTAAATAATTTAAACTAGAGGGCATTATTAATTTTATGTGTGAAAGGGAGAGAGGGAATCACAATAGGGTGCACATATAAATTTCTAGTTTTAATAATATTCTAACAATAAACTTTACAATTTTTTATTAACCTATCCATTTTTGCATAAATTTTATAAAAATCCTGATTGCTTATTTTACTGGTCATAGTTAGCTAAATTAAAATTGTTAGTTGTAATTTCAATAAAATGTACTTTATCTTTATTAAAAATTTATTGTATCGTAAGTAGTGGTCCACAAAAACTGTATCCATTTTTCCCAGAAATTTTAATGCACTGCACTTTGAGATATAGAAAGCTAACTTCACTCTCATCAATCCCTCCATAAATTGAAACAAAAATCTCTCTCCTATCCCCCCTTCCCACACACACACATGCAAAGTAAAACAGGCATTATTCAAAGTTACAAAAGATTATGAACACAATCTTGCTAAAATTATTTTTGTTTAACATTTCATTTTTTAATAATTAAATATCTCTGAAGTCATAATGTTTTAATAAAATGTGTGTTATCATACTGTACCATGCTCTTGAATAGAGCTAATGAGAAACTTTCCTTTTCAATATTTATTTTACGAATCAATGGTGAAAATCTACTTTTTTATTTATTTGTGGACGCCTCAAATCAATTTTTTCTTGCCAGTTTGTTTTGAAAATAATGTATCTGTTTAAAATTAGTTAAGCTAATACATTTTCTCAAGTCACACATTAAGACTTAATTTAAGACTCCCCCACCCCACCCATATAGCATTTTCTACTCCTATTGTCTCCAGCATCCTGCTGATGTCACCAACACTTGTGGGGCATTCCCTGCTCAAAATTGAGAAGAGAAAAAAAATTGTATGGGACAAACTTTTATTTTAATTGACAGTAAAATTGTGTAGTTTGCATCAGCCTGTCAAATTGTGCCATCAAATATGAACAAAGGTATTATATAATAAAATTTTATGAAATGTTGATTCAATTATTTTTTTAAATTTTTATTCCCCAAAGTAAATGTTTGCATTTTAAATAAAAACATATTTATAGTTTTATACCTTTAGTATAACAAAGTGATGGTTTATCAGAGGAAATTTAAAATGTAACAATTTAATGTTTTTCAAGTCAAAACTTTTTCAAATTTGTAGTTTTTGGTTTCTTTTTGTTTTATTAAAAGCTCCATAACATTTTAAATAGGTTTTAACTTTAAAAAGTACATTAACTGGATAAAATGTTATGAAATTAAAAAAAAAAAAAAAAAAAAAAAAAAAATAGATTATTTTTATATGTAGGTGACCATTAACAGTTTTTTTAGTTTAAAGTCATTAAAAAAAAAATAGGCCTAAAATAATTGTAGTATTTTAACTGTCCAATTAAGAGTTGTGAATTAATATCTGTGATGCCATTTTTTTCTTTTGCATTATATAACTATTATTAATGTTATGTTATAAATCAAGATTATTCTTAATGTTTTCTAGTTAAGTATGTATAAAAACACTTAGATTCTCAAACAAATAATTTTTTAATAAAAATATTAATGGCTTTTAAATTACCAGCAAAAAATAATCTCATTAAAGTTTGTAATATTTAAAAATTTAGGTTTTTGAAATCACAATATTTTATACCATGTTCAAACATTTTTAAAACATCTAGATGGTTTTATTTAAGATTATACAAATAATTGTAAAAAGTTAACAACCGCCTACCAACATAAATGTAGGTTATAAAAATAATAAGCTAGTTCAACGTGTAAACAATTTGAAATAATTTTCTTCAAGATACCTGGAGCTTCATCTTTTTTTTATTCAACAGATCTACTCATCTATCTAGATTTATGTGAGAAAAAGTATGAACCCTAATACTAATAGATTTATAATATAAATAAATGTATTATGCCAAGAATAGCAATAATATTTGTTTCAATATAGAATACTATACAAATCTTTCTTTTGCTGATTTAAATGTATCCCTATCTGCTGTAAAAAAGTTCTGTACAAAAATGTTTTGTCTGAGAGACTTTATGTGATCACATATGACTTGACATTTGACAAGAATTAAATGGGATGCTGCATTAGTGCTCTAGATGTTCTGTTTATAGTAATTTATACTGTTTTATTTTTTTAAATACTGCATTTACTATCCAATAAGACATTAAAATTATATTTAGTGTCAGAGGCAATATACATTTAAATTTTTAATCTGATTTGGTGATTACATCATACTAACATTACCAAATCGTTAAATTAACAGATGTTTTGTTTTTAATCGTTAGCCAATAGATCAAAGACCTCGACTGGCTGGGTACTTACTCTTGGTCATAGATTGTTGGACACCCCTGCTTAAAATTGTCAAAGTTTGCAAAAAGAAATGTTAGTTTAAAATGAAAAATCAATTTTCAGTACTTTCAAAATGAAATTGTCTTTTTTTTCCCTTTCAAATATTGCCACAGCTTGTTGTGTAAATAATTTATGTTTGCTTATCACCTGTCTCAAAGTAAGCTGTCTTCATCCTGTTCCGGGCCTCTGTGATTTTTCTAAGGTTGTGACATTTTACATAAATTATGTAAATCCCTTTCTCTTTGAAAAATTAACAGCCAATGAAACATATTTAAATTTAAATGTCCCCTTGATTGTGTTTGTGTGTGAGTGCGTAGTTAAGCAATGGTTAATGACTCTGAAGTTTTGTAAATCTTACTTGCTTGATAATACCCACAATAGTTAAATCTAAGAAACTGAATTTTTAAAAGCTAGGCCATAACATAATGTAGGGCCTAAAAGTATATATGTAACTGTTAAAACTATAATTTAAATAATGATTTCAATTAAATTTTGATTGAAATGCATCTTTTTGTTAGCTCCCCAAGCATTGCTTTTTTTTTTTTAGTAATATCTGCATAAGAAATTTGAAAGGATCAATAATTTATCCATAAATATGTATACTTATTTAATACCCTATTGAATTTTTTGCTTTAACAATGTAAATTATTTGTTAGAATTTTTCTTTTTTCATTTAAAACAGGCTTTCAATAAAAACACTGTTTTAAATTTAGGGACATCCATAAATGACGTCATGCATTTTCTGGATCCCCCACCCACCCAAATCATCAAAAATGTGTACAAAATTAAACACTCCCATAACATATTGTCACAAAGTTATGACCTTCTATCCTCTTAGATGTGTGACATCAGTTATGGATGGCCCCTTTCTCCTAATAGTTATAAACTTGGTTCAAGCTATGAGATACTGCAATATGTAACTGATTTGTCATTCTTTTAATCTATTTTCTCAGTCAACTGAACTGGAAGCTTTTATTTTACGAATTGCTTTTCATTATGATGCATTATAGTAAGATTGCTTTTATTTAAGTCTCTGAAAGGAATTTTTTTTTATAATCATATGTTGCTAATTTTTAAAAATTTCATTTCATCTTCGATCAAATTTGTCTTGTGTTGGCAGTTTTTTGTTAAAATTCTGTTTTAGAGCACCTACAAACATAAAGATTAAGAAACTGATTTTAAAATAATGAGTCTTTTTTTAAAATTGATTTTCTGAGCATTTGATAATTACGAGCTAATTAATGCCCATATATCCATACTTTCAAGTTGGCAGCAAATATTATCATAAATATATCATAGTTAAAAGTACAAATTGTAAAAAGTGCTGAAGCTAAGAACAAGATCTGTAAATAAACCATCCTATATTATTAACAAATCTTTTCCATTTACAAGCTTATAAGAACTTGTGATTAATGCTTTGTAAGGAATAAGTATAACCTAAGAGAGGAGGGAGTCTTTAATATTTTTGTTGGTATTAAATAATGGCTGTAGAATGGCTTTATTTATTTTAGACTTTTATTTAATTAAAACGTTAAGAAATTTAAGAAATTCCGTTTGTAAAAAAAAAAAAAAAAAAAAAAAAAAGTCTTTTATTTTTTTTTTTGTATTAAATAATGGCTGTAGAATTGCTTTATTTATTTTAGACTTTTATTTAAATAAAACGTTAAAAAATTTAAAAAATTCCCTTTTTAAAAAAAAAAAAAAAAAAAGATGAACTTAGTTTACTTAGTAAACCTATACTCCCAGGGCGTTCATTTTCTCTTTTTCATATTGATAGTCAATCATCATTAAAAAATAGCAAAATACAAAATGACATCAAGTCTATAAACAAATAAACCACCTTAATATTTTGTACAGGAGCAAATCATTCTTGTAATGATGTTAACAATGCTTATGTTTGATGGATTTTTTTTTCGTTCATAAAATAATTTCTATAAATATGAACATCTGCTAATTTCCTAATGTACTTTAATATCTGATTTATCATAAGATCATTTTAAAAAAATAGCAACAATTGCAAAACATCTAAGATGACACCTAAAAATTATACTGAACATTCAGCATTAAGATATATTCACTATTAATGCAATAAAGGTTCAGCAAATTTTTTTATCTGACAAATAATTCAGTAAAATCTTCAAATAATTTTCTACTTCATCTTTTTTACTGCTATGAAACTGCTGTGAAAATGTATATTTTAACAATAAAAAAATGGAATGAGACTGATGAGTTTTTAGATCACTGATCCCATCTATTAAACAAATAATATAGTTATCTTTGATATAATTGTCTTATTAGAAATTAAGTTAAGGGCACAACTCAATGGGTTTTAGATTCTGCAAATAAAGTTCAGTTATACAGGGTGGGCTAATAAAAGTGAGAACATCTCGTAAAATATTACGCTACGAGATGTTCTCACTTTTATTGGCCCACCCTGTATATACCCTATCTTTAAAAAATAGAAAAATAACATTAAATTTAGGGATTCAACTCTTAGCAATCCTCTTCTAGATATTTATGAAATGGCGAAACGAGGTATGTGGAAGCTTGAAATAAAATAACAGGACAAAAAACAAGGACGTTTCGGCATAAAGCCTTCCTCAGCCAACAATGGAAATGAAAATATAACAAAGAAAAGAGCACAGTAAACAACTCAAACAGTATTCCAATACTGATAATTAATACTGGAATACTGTTTGAGTTGTTTACTGTGCTCTTTTCTTTGTTTTATTTTCATTTCCATTGTTGGCTGAGGAAGGCTTTATGCCGAAACGTCCTTGTTTTTTGTCCTGTTATTTTATTTCAAGCTTCCACATACCTCGTTTCGCCATTTCATTCTTTTACTAAGCTTGAAAGCAGTCCTTTCATTTATTTCTAGATATTTATGCACTTATTTCTCCTAAATTCGATTTTTTAATGCTTAATTCCTATTAGTCTAACAGAAATTTGTTATTACTTCATATTATTATTTTAAAAAACAAAAATTTGTAAGGTAATCAAGAAATTTCAGACTAGAATGAGTGTGGTCCTCACTTTATTATGTAGGACATAGCAGAACAGCAAAAAATAGTTAATGAATGATAATAATTTTTTAAAAATTACTTATAACAATAAGACTCCGACTGGTTTTTTTCTCCAAATATTGACTCCATTTGAAAATCCTCTAATAACTTTTTCTTAAGAGTTTTTAGAGATTTGACATAATGTATTTTTAAACCCTTGTTGTGTGTGTCATTAGTAATATTTGTTTAGGAGCAGCTGAGTTCACAAATCTAGGAGTGCATAACTCATGCAGCAAAAACAATATCACTGTCTCTTTCATGGCCCAGATGGCATATTTGTTAAACTTTGAGTGGGATGTATGTGGACCATTCTTCCCCATTATTTTAGAACTGTAATTTTTTTTTCAAAAACTGCCTAACGCTTTAAATATTTGCATTGTTGTTTTTAAAACATTGCTTTTATGTTAATATTTCATATGATGTTAAATAACATTTCTGAGAGAGACATTCATTTCATAACATCTTTGCATAGTTCATTTGATATAGATAAATATGGTATGGTATTTGATGAGAATCTCTTTTTTTCCCCCATTTTTTTTTGTTTTGTTTACTGAAGTACTTTTTATAATTTATACAAGTAGGATGTGTAATAAATTGTGTAATCTTTGAAAAAAGTGATTTGATTTTCCTTTATGTGAGTTCCAATGTATTTATTCCTGTATATTTTGCTTTATCTATTATTAGTAGGCCTACATATTTATTTTAACAATTTTTCTCCTTTTTTTTTAGTTTAAAACTAGCAGGAGAGAATCTATGGTTCATTTCAATGCAGGTTTCTAAATATAGATGGGATGATAAAATGCTAAGTTGTTATCAGGGTAGTTGAGATAATCATAAATGCTGCTGGTGTTTAATCATATTATCAGGAATGTGCTTTTTATTGAAAATTATTTATGTAAAAATAAGCTAAAACAGTGTCTGCATAAATAATAGTCACAGATAGAAATCTCTCACAGATTACTTAACTTTGTTTTTAAAAAAAGTATGAATAGAAAAAAAAACTCTAATCCAACTCTAAAGAAGAAATATAGCAGCTATTGATAACGTTACAAATATCTACTTAGCGAGGTGCTGTTAACTAAGATCTAAAGAGCTAAATGTACTCTACAGATGAGATGATGCTACTAAGTTCATTATGGTTGTAGTGTAAATCCTCTAATTTTGCTCCAAGCAAATAAATATACCCAAGAGTCTTAATGTAGTGTAGTGATTAATATTGAGTCCTGCTAAATGTAACATCTGCAACTAATGATGTGGAATCCCTGGATCACGTTAGCCAGTTTATTCTTGAAATTAATTAAAGTAAAAAGTTCAGCTATATGTTTCCATTTGTGATTTTATTGTTCTATTACCTGACTTAAACTTCAAGGGTTCATATATACTGCTATTAGAATAATTCTAGTAGTGGGTTAAGGCAGAGGGGGTGGTTGAGTGAATTTTTAGCCCAAAGTGGGCAGTGGCCCATAATAATTTGAGAACCATAGTAATGGCACAGTACTAAATAATCCAAGAACAATTTTTAGAGGAATTGAAAAAAAATATTAGAAAACTTATTTTTACCTTCTTATAAACCATTTTAAACAAGTTAAATTTAACAAAAATATTAATGAATGTTTTAGAGAGCAAATTTATTGAACCATTTATTCCAATGGCATATGCCCTTTGTACACTTCTTATTACTTTAATTAAGTATATCTGTTGGAGGTATCAAGAGAAAAAGCAACTTTTGATTATAGGTTTCATAGCAAATTGCCAATTCTCGCCTGCCGCTTCATGGCCGGCTGGGGGGGGGGGGCGCAAGGTACACTAGAAAGGGAATTGTTGGCTAAAGCTCAACTGTTAAGAAGTAGATAATATTACATCATTATTATTTTAAAAACACCCAGTATGACAATAGGCCTGTTGGTAAGTAATTAAATTGAAGTAAGCCAATATACTCATGGGTGTGTTGTTTACTTTCAAAATAAAAAAATTGATGCAAGAAATTTATATTTCCCCACAAAAGAAACATGCACACTGCATACGATCACCAGCTATGGTGATACAAGTTACTGCATTGCAACAGGAATGTTTTAACTTATCATTGGCCATCACTCTCAATCTGTTCGACTGTAAGGAAGAAGCATTTATGTACTTGTTTTATTTTCTTCTTGGTGTTTTCTTTCTTACCTTTTTGAAAACTTATTTTGCGACAGCAGCCTTTCAATGGAATCTCAACAACAAGGGGACAATGATAGGAGAAGAGTCCAGATCGTTTATTGATTTGTTTAAAACTCTTGTAATATGGCAAATTAAGCAAGAGAACCAACAACAAGACTTTGGAACATAAAAAAAAATGAGATGGAACTTATGATGGAGTTGAGAACAAAGTCATTAAAATGTCAGAGATGAGTTAAGGTTCTTAGAAATAAAGTTTGCAGGGGTAATGCATGAATAACAAATTTATTATCTGTTGGAAAACCTTACTATTAGTATTAGTGGTCCTTCTAAAACAACCTGCACAAAAACATTACGTTTTTAAAAACTTTTTAAACACTCAAGAACTACTTCCTTGGTAATTTTAACTATTTTCAAAAGCAAAGCAATTACAATACAATGGAGTTCTGTTGGAACTTAATTGGGGGATATTGGTTGTGATTCTGAAAGAATCCCACTTCTTAAACTGTTAATGACACACAGTACTTTTCCATTGCAAGGTCATGTAGAGTGAGTAGAGATCCCAATAATTCAGCCTAGAATACCCTGAAGGTTAGGTCAAGGAATATGCAGCGAAGTGCAAACAACCTGACACTGATGAGTTGGTTCAAACTTAGAATGCACTCAAATCTGACACTTCAGCTCAATTAAGAGTGATGAATAGCCAATAGTTATTAATGAAATAATGAAATAAAAATGTTAGGGTTGCAATTCACTTCAAATTCAGCTAATACTAAAGTATAGGTTGCATTATGTACTTAAACAAAATAGTACCGGAAGTAAATACAACATAAAGTATAAGGAAACATTGAAAGTAAATAGGGAATTAATCCTTTGTTGTATTTTCCAGCTATTGAGAAATTTAATGAGAGTTTTATTAGTAATAGGAAGACTGACACAGCATGATTGGCTTTAACTAATTTTGCAAAGTATGTCAATTTAATAATTTTTTTTTAACCTGAAGAAACACAAACAATCATAAGATTCATTTAAAATTCAATTTTAACATCACATTAATTCCTTTTGTCATTACAACAGTATGACAGAAATTTCCTGATTACATATTCCTTTTTTAAGAATAAGATTTCTGTTTAAACTATTCTTCACTACTGAATATAAATTTTTATGCATTTGATTTCATTAACAGGACATACATATTTTTTTATAAAATGAATGCACATGTAAATATTACATAATGCTGTATTATGCCTGATATTTAGGAATATACAGAATATAAATAAGTCTTGAGAGCATTGATTTATACTTGAATTTATTTTTATTGATTTAACAAACTAAAATATTAAGACAACCCTAAAAACAAATGCTAATGATAATGGTTATTTTTTTTTTACAACTGAACAGGGTTCACCCTTCAGGGATTAGTGAAATAAATACTGTAGATGAATAGTGAATTATTCTTCACTAAATGTTATGAGGCAGGATTCAATGTACATTTCAATCCCACTCGTAGCTAAAAACTAATGCCGGCACTTTGAATAAAACAACTTTCTCAGTCATCCATAATCTGGTTCACATCACGGATGTAAAAAACAATACAAGCCACCAGGCACAAACGCAGTGATGATGAATGATCAACTGAAACACAAGAATGTCAACTACCAATGTTACATCTTTGGATCAAACACATGAACCAGACATTGATGAATCCTTTAAATAAATCAAAATTTTCAACAGATTATAAATGAATTTTACATTTAATGCCAAGTAAAAGTATTTGCCTTTTTTTTTCTTCAAAAAGTTTGTTGAAATTCATTATCTCAGAATTATGAAACAAAATAAGTAAGAATGAGCTGCATTAAAAAAATAGTAAAAAAAAAATATTAAAAATCGTTTTAAGAAATTGGCAGATAAAATTGAAGGTACATGATATAGAATGTGTACATTGGTAAAGCTTTAATTTGTTAGCTGATTGGGAAAAATAATTTGGCAACAATGTGCAGATGAAAAGTTAATATTTATTGATTTTTAAATTTACTATTTTCTAAAGTCCTTTCTTTCAGTGGAAACCTAACAATTTTAACGTTATTTTCAAACTCTAATCTATTGTAATCAACATTCAAAATACATCATATCAGAAAAAATAATTTTAAGACATTTTTTTTTCTTATAAAATGTCAAATTTCAATAAGCACAAGGGTTGTAAGACTTTCTCTTATTTAAAGCACTAACAAATCAACTTGGGAGTTCATCATCATCATTTTGTGACAATAAAAAGTTTGCAGCTAAATCCTCATTCTTATCACATGCAAAGTAGGCTTGAATGCACATAGCTTCTGAGAACCCTAAGGCTTTTAACTGAAAAAATATTATAAAACACATTTTAAACATATATTTTGTTGTATTTCAGCAGGTTTTCTTAAAAGCGTGGCTTTAGAAATAATAGCAATTATGAATGGTGCAATCTGTCTACACATTTACAAACATGTCAAATTAGATTCAATGAGTAGTTAAGGTAACATTGTCTTAACTAACAGTATACAATAGTGGCTGTGAGAACAATAAAGCCATATCTCATTCTCCATCATTGCTACTAAATTGTGGGATGGAGTGTATGTGTTGCAATTGTCATAATCCGTCCTGACAAACCTCTCACATCATAATTAAAAAATAGGAACTAAATCATGTGTCCCTTGAGATTTTGGTGATGGCGCCCTTTCAATGATTTTTAAATGAAGTTTTTATCTTATTTTATTTTCAACCTCTTTATACTTTAGTATAGAGCGGCTATATCTCGCTCGTGTTATACTGAGGTGCCAAAAAATTGATATTTTGGTTGTTGATAGTTATTATTTCACCGTTGATGTTTTTCTTAAAGCTAAATCATTTTTTATGCATTTATCCTTAATTTGTTAATATTTATCAGCTAAAAAAACCTTTAAAAATGTAGATCGTTTGCAAAACAGGGTTACTTCTCTTTCTTCAGGAATACAAATTAAGTACGGAAATATTTCAAATAGCACAGCCGAAGGGAATGAGTTTAACAATATTTGTAATATCTGATTTGTATTGGTACACCCTCACAGCCTAATAAAAGACCAACCTGGTGACAAAACCAAAGGTACCTACCCTATCAATTGCCTGCTTTTCTTCTGGTGTAACAGAGATATAGCCTGATCCTGGCGGGGGGTTTGTGCCCCCAGCCCCTTGTCCCCCCTCCTGGTCTGAGCCGTCATCAGGCTCATTTAACATCTGCACAAAGCGTTCCTGGTTCTGACTAATCATCTATTGAAAGAAAAAATTATCATTATTAAAAAAAACACATACAAAATCTCAGATAATCTAAAAAAAAAAAAAGAAAGAAAAAAATTGACAGGAAATACTCCTATTTGGCACTGAACTTTTCAGAACTGTTGCAGGATTTAAAAAATAATATATAAATAATATAATAGCACAGATAATTATCCACTGCGGCTTCCAAGTTGTGTATACCTTTCATTTTTATAGTGAATAAATAAATAGTCTTTATGGGGTCATTTATATTAAATATGAAATATAATTTTGAATGCATATTTACTCAGATTTAATGGCATTTAATTGCGGTCACAAAAAAGATTTCTTTCGTTTTAATATAAAATAAATTGAGAGAGAATATTTTTAGCATTTATGAAGTCTAAGGTAAATTTTTTGTTATATGAAAAATATTTTTCCACAATTAAAACTTTTCTATTACCTTTCTTTTGTGCTATTTTCTTTCTTTTGTGCTATTTTCTATAATTGTATTGGTCTCCATAAAGTTGTTTTTTAACCCATAAATAAGTAAACCTAGCTTTAAAAATAAACTTCATAAAAGTTCTGCAAGTTACCTGCAAAAGAGGAGGATTATTTTGTCCTATTTGTTGCAGCAGGGCTGGAAGAAGCTGAGGATTTTCTTGAATGGCTTGGCGCATCCTCTGAAATTGTGGCTGAGATCTTAGAAATGCCAGAGGATCTTCTCCACCAGTTCCTGGCACACAATTTAACAGAACAGATGTAAATTATGCGAAATTTTACATTTTCAATTGATAATTTAGAATCTTTGGTAAAGCATAGAAATGGAATTAAGATCATTTCTGTTTGGATATGATTTTTTTATTTTTGACATTTTGTCATGTGGTTATGTATTAATTTTGTTAATATATCTTTACATTTTAAATTTCTTATTTTTGTATTACTTTGAGAATCCGCTACCAACCTGTTTACCATTGAACACCTTAAATCGTACAATATCGTCTCAAAATCATACTATACCGTATCATAATAGTAAATAAATAAACATGCAGTATATATATTATAATGTAAAAATCGTAGAATGTATGCCTAAATCGTAAGAGTAAACAGGTCTGCTTTACTAAGCCAAATCTTAAATTTCAAAGATGGGTAATCAAATGAAAGAAAAAACATATTTAATTTTAAACATTGCCAAAATAGTGAATCAATAATATTTGTTGTCCCAGGTGTTTCTGGACGAACACATTATTTCCTGTGTTCTCACCTCCAGTCTGAGAAGACCCAGTAGTATCTGATGAAGGATTGGATGCCATTGAAACGTTAGACTCACTAGCATCAGTTGGACGAGCAGGAGGATGACCACCACCAAATCCTTCTTCAGCTCCGTGAGGCTCTGGAATACCCTAAAATATAAACAAACATGATACATACTTTTTTGAGCCTTTCACTTCATTTCCAATCAGTTTTTACTATACAAAATAAAGGGAAATGATATTCACTGTCAAACGAAAGTTTATATTGAGCACAATTAACACTCGAATATGTCTTCAACTATAACGTAAAAAAATTAAATAAAGTAAAAAAGAAAGAAACTGTTATCCCTTGAATAAAAAGAAGAAGATAAAACCAGCAGTTATCAGCAGACATTGTGCTTCTTTACATGCTTCTTTCCATGAAATCCAAGAGCAAGGTATGCTAAACTAGAATTCAAAAAAATAAAAAAAAATAAAGAGATTCCTCTTTGTTGCCCTATCCTACTTCAACAAAAACGAAATCTGTTTAGTTTTTTTTTTACTGTGATCTGATAATTGTTATTCTTCTTTTTGTCTTATTTTCTGATGAAGGCTCTTAGCCGAGACGTCAAAATCTTTTGTCCTGTTAATGAATTGAAATTCAGCATACCTTGTTCTAAGATTTCATTTCACAACTTGAATACAGTCGAATTATATATTTTGCTTCTTTACAACTTGATTGCAGTCTGCCTAAATATAAATAAATATCTGCCTAAATAAGTCAACACTTTCCATACCTACATATAAAAAAAAAAACAGTCAACAATTACTTACCCCAAGAAGATACTCCACAGCCCTATCTGGGTTATTAAAGCTGGCCCTAAGAGCTCTTACAACATTCTCCCTCTCAAAACCCATAATCATTAGTTGTTGCACCATATTCTCATATGCTTGGCCAGTGACTAGGTTACTCTCAGCAAACTGAAGACTACCTCCTCTGGCATCAGATGTTGCCGTTGGGGCAGCAGTGGCTGCTTCAGTTGTTGGAGCAGAACTGTTCATGTTTTACAAGAATAAAGCGTTAAGGATAATTTTTAAAAAAAGACAAAGCATTAGGTATTTCATCTCTTTTAGTCTTAATTGATGACTCATTGTCTTGATCCAACACAATTATCAATTTTGTAAGTTCTTTTTAATCAAACTTCTCTAAATTCATTAATTAAATAAATGCTTTTAAGTCACCATAGAAAAAAATGCACATTTTTACAAAAAATTTTTAATTTTCAAATTTATATCTACCTTGGTGTTGAAGGACTAGACGCAGTTGTTTCAACTGATCTGTCACCCTGTGCCACTAAGTTTGAAGGAACCACTGGTGTTGGTGCGGCTGCTGCAGCAGCAGCTGCTGCCGCTGCAGGTGTTTCTGTGGAAGCTGGAGTCTCAGATGGTTTTGTAGGTGCAGTGGCAGGCTTTGGCTAGCAAAAATATTTTCTTTCATGTTATGAATGTTTCTTTTAAAAATTAATTTGAGAATCTACAATAGAAATTTTAGTTCTAAATTTATTTTTTTCCCTACAAATAAAATTAATTTTGAAAAACTATGTCATAAATTAGCCCTTAAAATTAAAACTAAAGTGCTTTAAATGAATCATAGCTGTCATGACCGTCGCATTAACAAAATTTTATAGCTATTAAAAAGATCTGTCAATCAACATAGGCTACATCACATTGAAACTGTACATCAGCAATATTTTAGACAGACTTACAGGAGACCAATTTTTTTCTGTAGAGATATTGGTCTGACATTGTGCTCAAAGTGCAACCAATCACATTCAATTTTTATAAGCCATCTTCATTGTCTATCATGAAAATAGCCTGGACCTTTTATGACTATAGTTGAACAATGCCAATGGTCATGCTGATTTATGGTTGCAAACTAATCAAAAAGTAACTTGTGATAGCTACCAATTCTTTCTCCCACAAATAACAATCACAAATAGTAAGAGTGAAAAAAAAAATGTTGAAAGTTCCTATGGTGCAATTAAGGAATTTAAACTCAAATCAAGCCACAATTTTTTCTTTTGAAGCATCAATCAGACAACTCTGCCAAAAAATTATTTTAAAAAATTGTTTGGCCTAAATTCATTGGCATGCATCTGCAAAGCTACAAATTTGTTCCTGCATTTGCTTTTTTAAAAAATAATTTTGTTCTCATATATGTCTAAAATTTCAGTGCAATATGTATTCAGTGTGATTGTAGCCTAAGCTGGCTTAAAATGCAGATTGCTAACAAGTGTGCATTTATTTTAATTATTTAAAAATGATTACTAATGAACCCTAGTTAACTTTTATTTAATATTAGGGCCGTGCAAAGAAAAAAAAAGGTGGGGAGGGGAAACCAGTCTCTGATGCCAACATCAAGGGAAACCACTAATGAAAAACGTGAAAATATATATCTATAAGTGTGTGTGTATCATTTATCGATGAAACCAGGGAGGTATTGCGCCAATATTTTTCAGGCTTTGCCCCAAGCGCAAATTTTCCTTTGCACGGTCCAGCAATAAATTAATTAATTTAATGATATACCTTGGTAACCATTATAACAACAAAGTTTTTTTCTTCAATTTTATATTCATCGACTTTCTTTGCATCATCAAGGATTTTTCCTGTCAAATATGAATCATATATTTTTATTAAATAAAATATTATGCTTAGCCTGTCTCTTCAGGGCTATACATTTTCATTACAATTTAATAATTTCGTATAAATAGGACCAAAAATCCATATCCTGATATTAAATAAATTTTTAGTACATTTCATAATTAATTAAATTTTTTTTAATGGTTTTGCGTAAGCTAATTGTGTGAGTTTATGATGTTTCTTTAATTTTGTCAAGCTTTAAAAATTGGCATAGTCAACCAAAATATAGAGCAAACTGCAAATGTTTGCTGCTATGAAAGTGAAAGTTGTCTCTACATTATTATAAAGTATAATTTAAAATCATTAAAATTGAATTTAAATTTGAACTTAAAAATATTAAAGAACAAAAAAATTTACCTGCATAAATAAGCTTCTGGCCTGCCGCTGGATATTCCTTTCCCTTTTCAGCTTCAATCTTTTCTTTTAATTCTTTAACCTTTAAAATGAAATTATGTTATCAAACTGTAAAAATTATTTCAACTAATTTTTAAATTTCTTTAAAAAAAAAATGATAAAAGAATTTGATAAATGTTTAAGTAAAAATCTACAACAGTTTAAAAATTTAACTTCCTTACTAAAAGCTGTGTCTAATTATGAACTTTTGCACATGGCTAAGTAATAAAAGATTTCCCTGACCAATAATTTAATAGTTTTTGCACACTGCCATGTCTTATGAATGAAACTATAAGAATAATACTATAGAAGTATAGCACATGCAAGTAACTGCCAAAGCTCTGCACACTGCAAATTATGATAATTTATAGTATCTGCTCTTATTTGTTTTAAACCTCAAATTAATATTACCTTGTTTAAATGTCATCTAAGTTTATTCTAAATAATGACATCTTAATTTATTCTAAAACAGAAGTTATCTAAATATTTTGATTCAAGTAGTGGCAATAAAGTAATAATTTTTCTTAAGTATTGAGATCTTCCGCAATTAAATAGGGGGCATCGTCACAACCAAAAGAAATTGGGTTTAGAGACCTACATAACATACTGCTCAAATATAGAACCGTAAAACACATAGCACTATGAAAATTGGCACACATGTAGATCAATATATTAACCGGGACATACAAATATGATATATTTATATATATATATACAAATTCGACTTAATCTTTTGGAGAAAGTTGCATTATATTTACAAAAAAATTTTCTCAAAGGTGACCTGTAGTAAATAAAAAAGTAATCAATTGAAATGTAGGCCATGAAAGATGTCCTCCAAAGTGAAAGGATGGAAAAGGAAAACAATTGTGGGATGTAATACTTCTTTTATGAATGAAATAGCACCACATCAAACCTGTAAAACCTGCAAATTCAGGGGGTGGGCATTAGAAATTGATTTCAGACCAATGCAGTGAATGCTTCCCAGACAACTGAACGCATGACAAGTGAAAACATGAGCATCGGAGACGACCACTGTGCATACCAGACTTGAGACTGTTAGCATCAAAGACGATTACTGTGCATACCAGACCCAAAACTGTTAATATCGAAGACGACCACAGTGCAGACAAGTTTACTGGAGAACATCTTTTAAATCGCCATATGTTTTATATTTTTTCGGCATAAGAAATAGGGCACCAACCTTGACCCTTAAGTAACATTAGTGGACACTTGAAAATTTGGAAAATTCTCAAATCTTTCCAAATTGTCTCCACCTGACTTTGGGGACACTCCAAAACTGTCCATGGTCATCGGAGTCGAACCGAAAATTCAGAAAAACTGGAAATTTCAGTAAAACGTTACCAAAAAGTTTTCGTCTCACAGGGTGGGTCTAAAATGCCATAATTTTGAACATTAATTGGAATTAATATAATTGTCGTGGGTTTACTTGTCCTGCAATTCATTTGTCTAGTCACAGCAGCGGGGACACACCACAAAGGTTGTGCAACTATAACTATCAGAAATCTGCATACTAGAGGTACCGGTACCACCGTTAACCCATATATGGAGAAGTTGCTGCCACTGTCTCGCTGCCCACGCCTTTCTAACCAGAAACATGGCATGGCAGTTGGGACCATGTCGGTCCCGCTATGCCGGTGTTTCTCAATTACGTCAACGTATCAGTGAAGGACTTAGGTAAGCAGCTAACCATGGAAACAGCATCCGTGCAATAGATGTGAAGCACAAGACGTGACTATGTAATAGAATTCCAAGAATTCCACCATCATCAGAGAGCGACCAGTGTCAAGGCATTGGTTGACGTGTCACATCTCCTCGTAATGAACGGACCAGGGAAACATTATGAGGCGACCAGGGATTATGTTACGAGATTTAAAACTAGAGACATGGCTGGTGCACATGATCTTCTCATACCGTAACAGCTAGGAATGAAGAAGAATGTCTTAGTGTCTAAGCGAGGGTTAGTACTGACCAGTATTGGTCGAGAATCGTGCCACACACTACATTTTAAAAAAAACAACATCAAAAACTCTTCACTTGGCCAAAAATCCCGCCGCTCCATATAAAGAAAAAGTGCCCCCTGTGGTGGACCCCACCTTCACACCCCGTCCCCTTTCCTATGCAAGTAGATTCTTTCTATACAATTGACATTGTGAGTCATCTCATGGCAAATAATGTGTTTAAAGGATCTGTGGTTGGTCAGCTTTAATTCGATGGGAGGGACTTAATTATTTATATGACACCTAGTTGACTCTGATTTGTGATAAGTAAAATGAGACACAGTGGTAGTAATTTTATATAATTGGAAGGACATGTTTTGCTTTATTAGTAATCTTTTTTTTCTGGTTTTCAATTCCATATTACAGTATATTTAATTTAATTCCTGATTTTCGCCTCTTTTTAAATAACCAACTATTTATTGACAACAAAATCATGACAAATTTTATTTTAAAAAATACATATATTATATTTATTTAAAATATATAGTTTTAACAAACATTGTCCCACACAACCCCTACATAACACACTAAAATCTAGACGCATTATGTCCGTAATGGATGCAGGAGCGAGCCAAGGAAAGCAGTGTCGTAGGCGAAGCCTGAAATTACAGCCCCTAGCATCTAGAAAATGCGCACATATACCACAGATCCCCCACCATTACTTTTACTCTGCCTTGCATGGATGGCCCTACGCCTACAGATTCAAAGATGCCTTGAACAAGAGATATGTAAATATTTAAACTTGTTAAAACCCACCATGGCGTCCATGGGTTTAGTTTACAAAGAAATATAGGGCACCTAGACATAATTAAATAAAATATAAAATAATGTTATATTAAAAGTTATATTATGAAATAAATATAACATTTATTTAAATCTAGATACATCCAATAGGACAACTTTAATATGTATCTTAAATACAGAAGAGTTCTACTTAATTTACCACAAAGTGACAATGGCACCAAGAAAGACAAAAGATTAATAAAATTTTACTTTTTTATCTTGTAAAATTTAAATTGTTGTATTCTAACAAAAAGATAGTATTTTACTTTAAAAAACTCCTCTTAATAAAGTTCCATTAATTATTTCACTAGTAATAATTAAGCACTCTAAAATAAGGGATTACCCATTAGTGACAAAATTAGCCCTAGACACCGCATATTTAATTCGAATTTACATTTCCATGCTCAGTAGTTCTGAGTGCATGTTCTCAGATCATCATGATACAGTTTCGTTAAAATAACTATTGCCTTACAGAAATATCAGGAGAAACATCCATCTTGAATGTCTGCTGCTGAAGTGTTTTAAGCGTTATAATCATCTTTTAAAATTTTATTGTTCAATTGTTATCCGCTCAATATTATATGAGCACAACAAGTTGTTTATAATAATCCAAATACGATGACTCCCTGCTTAGACAGCCGCCATGAATAAACATTCAGCAGATAATATTATGAATTTGATGGCTATTAATTTTCATAAATCTTATTTATTTTTATTTTCTAAAAAATGGGTATACGAAAAAATGTTTCAATTTAATTTCATTTTTTAAATAATAGTTTTAAATATATACGATTAATTTTTATTAAAATGTATGTAGCATTAAATTTAATCCGTTGCAGCTATATAATATTATTCTTTATTTCCGCTTTCGATTTTGTCAACTCCACATTAATGTAATTGTCGAAATATTATAAACACATCCGAGAAGATATTTAAAATGCAACCAACTAATCCTTATAACGGTTGACACAAGTAGAGTAGTTCCTAGATAACCAATTTAAAAAAAAAAAAATACACGATTTTGGTTAAACTGCGATGAAGTTTAAAAATATAATTTTACAATCATTGAATTTGGTTTTAAAAGATGATATAATTATTCGAGTTTCAAAATTATATTCCTTTCAGAAAGTTGATAATACTGTGACATTCGCCACATTAAAAAAACAAAACAATAACAACATTGTTTTGAAAAAAAAAATGACATTGGGTCTGCTGTAGGTATATTGTGAAATTTTAATCCACTTTTAAAATAACGAAAAATGTTTAGTATTTTTTTTTTTTTCAATTAAAAAGAAGTTTAAAAAAAAAAAAAAAAAAATTTAATATTTTTTTTTTTTAAAATAAAAAAGAAGTTAAAAAAAAAAAAAAAAATATATACTAAACTCCAGACTGATAATTACAAAAAAATTCCCTGTGACTTGTTGTATAACTCTTTTAAATATTTAATTGTTATTAAAGTTTAATTGTAAGCATGGAATCGCGAATAAGGGGGCGAAAAGGGGCACTCACTCTAGGTGCTAACATCAAGGGGTGCCAAAAACATCTTTGTATTGGATCACAATAGTGAATTAAACAATAAATTCGGATTTACTTCACAAAGACAAGGTCGCCAAAATTGTATTTTACTGGTTCGTCCCAGGCAGCACTATTGTCTATATCAATGCCATTTTCAGGCTTCATTTCGGGTGCAGTTTTTCCTCAGGCCTGGCACTGTGTGCAAATTTAAACTGAAATAAGTTGGGCAATAAATTTATGTAATCGGGGCCATGTGAACCCACATCCTTTCCATTTTTTTCACACATAGTCTCCACACTACCAGTAACTACCCCACTTCCAAAGCTCCATCATCTGTCTCAACGCCGTATCTTTCCATAACACCCATGCTTAATTTACCCAACAGTCATCTCTTACACCTAGCCTTGAAGAGACAATATGATTCATAGTTCTTTCAAATCAATGTGCCGCATTTGTTCCAAGCTATTCTCTCGCCTTCATTCCCGAGTCAGGACCAGACATATTAACTTAAATTAAAAAATAGATAAAGGAACACGTATCTCCAGTTTTCTCGAGGTAAATTATCAATTTTCTGTTTTTGCTTCTTTGCTGATTACCAAGGAAAAAAAGCCTGATATGTAAAGTATAATGTTATGTAGGACGCATTAACGTCATATTTCCCCTGTGCTGTGATCCCTAGCAGAGGCTGTGTTCGTGTGGGGCGTGGCTTATTCCCTTTGATCTTGTTTATCACAAACCATGCTATGGCTATCTTTTAACTTGTTGATTCGAATGCTTTAGAAGATGATAGAAAATTGTGGAATGTTCCAGTTACTAGGACAATATGGAATACGCCTCGAAAATTTGGTAGAACCTACTACAAAAGGGGATTCAAAGAGCATAGAGGAGGAGACAAGATTTTGAATTCACGAGACAACGGTGTGTTATTTTGTGTTTACTTATAGGTGTTAATTCATATTCATCATTGTACCATATTTTTTGGCACATTGTACTAGCTGTGTACCGGTACAAGACCTACCATACTCTGTAATTTTTAATTTATTTTGTAATTATATTGATACCTAAATAAATAATATTAATTGTACTTACCACTGTTTTGAGTGTCGTATTTTTACTATTGTATTCCTCAAATGGTATCGTCTTTTGCTATGCAGTGTTTAGAACGAGCCATAAACTGAAAAAAAGAGTTTAATTTCTCCCTATAGAAGGCAGTGCGTAACAAATTGTGTTGCTCCTCCGGAATATACCTGGCATGTCTTATTTTCTCGCTGTTAAAATAAAAAATAAATATATATGAGGCCCCTGTTTTTTCCTATCATACATAAATGACCCACCCTCGAAACTGACATCCCAAGCAAGACTGTTCGCAGATGATACGGTGGTGCATGGGCATAGGACGATCGCCCACACTTGACACATTAGCGTCTATGCCTCATGCCTTCCACCCCCCAGTTTATGATACCCTCGCTGAGTAACCCTGCAACCAGTTAAATATCCTCTTCAACACCAGGCACAGAAACATTACAAATCCTATCTACATGCATAGGAGCCAGAATGATTTAATACATTGACATATAGAAGAAGAAAAAATATATATTACGATAAGAGAAGGTAATTTGAGATGAATAATTTTATTCACATTGAATTTATAATAATAAAAAAAATATTAAAATAATAGGATATACTGTATAATATTTTTTTTATTAACTTATATTTGAATGTGGTCGGTAATACAACAATTCTTGTAAAAATCGTTTTAAAATACTTTTTCTGGAAAATTTTAGTAATAAATATTAGATCTCGGTAAAAAAAACAACAACAGAACAACAAGATGGAAAATACCAACAAGTGGAACGTGGACACTGTTACAGGAGAACAGGATGATGGACAGTGTAATTTTTATCTTGCGAAAAAAAGACGACTGTGCAGATTTCGCACAAACGCCGGACAAAAGTACTGCCCAGAACATATGTGCATAATGGGTGTGAGTAGATTCTCAAGAACTAGAAGAAACTTAGGTTGAAGGCTAGTCATAGGGCGGGCGTATTTGTCGTCATCTTTTTGTAATCTGAAATAATCACATTGAGTCATAGGATGTGGATAGTTGATGCCAAAGGCTATTTATAGTATGACTGCTTTGAGTAGTATTTAACAACCCCTTCCTAAACTAACTTAGACTTCTTCTAATAAAGGGCCCATGATCAATTTATTTAACATTTTGGCTCCTATGCATGTAGGGGACCTCGGTATCCACCGTAAATACCAGAAAAACGGGTATCATATTTTCGTTGTCATAATGGCGACCTCTACTTTTTAATTTACTGAGGGTATCGTTGTTTCGCGTTTTATAATCTATTTTTAGCATAATAATATAATTTTATTTCCGCCAATTACTTAAAGCCGACATCTTTCCTGTTATATTAAGAGTTCGTTTGATTTTTTGGGTCAAGATTAAAGCTTTGAAAATTGAAGTTAAAAATTGGTCAACTTCACTCAAGAATAAATTTTGAAAAAAAAATGCGCTCAATAATAAAAAAACTCCGCTCATATAATTTATAGATTCATTTACAACATATCCAAAATTCATGAGTGTAGACCATGGGTGGGCTTCAAAAACGAATTTCCAAGATGTCAATTTTTTTAGGCTATGTAATTTGTCATCATTGCCACCGTGCTTGTCTGCTTATTTCCAATTATCGATAGCAGCCGTGGGGTAATTAATAATTCATTAAGTTGGTTATCCAGAGTATAAATGAGAAATATAACTAATAATAAATAATTTTATATAAATAAAAAATGTTTTATAACATAAATAATTATTATTGGCTTATTGAATATCAGAGATTTTAATTTTTGGGTTGGTTGCCATGGACCTGGCTGACACTGACATGGCCATGGGAATGATAAGCTCTTGTCTTTGACTTAGATAGTGATAGGCTTAGTAAAAGTATTATAATAGTATTTATACTATTATAAATGATTTAAGGAGGGGGATAAATAGGGGTGTGCCGGATCCTTTTTTTCCAACCGGATCTGGATCCGGATTTTCTTATGCGAAATCCGCCGGATCCGGATTCCGGTTTCTCCCGGATTCCGGATTTTGGTACTATTGGTAGATACTTCGGTAAGTCAAGGTGGACTACTACTTTTTGTGTATGGGAATTCGCAATCGGCGCCAAAAAATATAGTCATTGCGCATGACGGGATTGGCGGAATGAGATCACAGAATGTGGAGATGCAGTCCATGTTAAAAAATGACAAACCAAGTCGTACTTTAAAAATTCATAACTTTAAAACTACAACAGCTAAATATATGATTTTGGTGTTATAATTCTTTAAAAAATTACATCTTTTCAACAATGCCATTGGTTTATTTTTACAAAAAGTTTAAATTTTCTAATCAAAGTCCCTACACTATTGGCCACTATTAGCGGTGCTGACTCTAGCCTCTGGTATGTACGGAATATTAAACATTAAACAAGCTCAACGCTCGAAACAATCGATTAATGTATCGTGATCGTGTGGAATTCGGGAAAGAGAATTACTTTTATTTCAGATTATGATCCGGTGAGTCACAAAATCTGGCAAATTCCGAAATCCGGTATATTCCGGATTCCGGAATCCGGTTGTTCCGGATACATGTAAATCCGGCGGAACCGGATCTCACCGGATAGTGCAAAATCCGGCGGAACCGGATTCCGGACCGGAATCCGGCACACCCCTAGTTCTGACATCTTCATGTGAAATTTTTAAAGTCCAGTTAGGTCATCTCCATGGCTTTCATTAATACATTCAACCAACCAAATTTGAGAGGAGACTCATCTTGAGGAATACAATTTTAAACATAATTTACACTTCTATTCTAAACTTAATATTTTAACCATATTTCTTGTCTAAATTTAATATTCTAGCTATACTTCCAATCAATATTTAA